GCATCCTTTTTTGCGGCACACCTTACCCGATGCTAAACTTAAACTTATATATATATATATATATATACATAACCAGTCGCGTGTCTTTGAGTCACGATGCCACTGGCATTTAGAAGTTGAGCGAGTTATGAATTGACGACAGTGTAGGTCATAAAGTCCCTGGACAAGTGATGCGAGGCTGATGACGACGAAATTGCGAGTTCGAGCTGTGAGAGGAGCGCTAGTTATTAAGTGTCACTGCTGGGGCATGAAGATTAATTTTCAAAACAATTTTCATATTGCTGAGCTGATGTTGGTGTAATTCGTAAATTCATATGGTAGCTGTTGAAATGGAGTTCGTCCCGGGGTATACAGAGCAGAAGAGCCGAGTTTTTAGTGAAAAAAAGGGGCATTTTTAAAAGGGACATTTTACACCTGCGTGTACGTGGAAGTTAGATCATTCTTTTGACGAAAAATTTAACATTTTCCATAAATGTAACAAAATTGAAGCTTCAAAATTACAAGTCTTTGAAAATATCAATGGACTGTCAAAAAGAAATTATAGAACGCGATAAATTGTTATTTGTAACGAAATATCTCTCCTTTACCAAATTTATTTCAAAAATAATTCGATTTGACATTTCTACATGTTTTCAAATTTTACAACCTCACGTTCACGAATGCACTTTGCGTGCATTTGTCAATACGATGAATAACTGTTCAACATTGTTTATTGGTCAGTTTGAAACTATGACGTAAAAACCTTGTATGACGAAATAAAACTTTATTATACCACAAAAAATGAGTGTAGAGCTTCTCTGCCGATACATTTTCAGCAAAGGTATATTACCAACACTACCCTCGAGTTCAGGCATATCCACGCAACAGCAATCATCGTGTAACCATAGTACATCGCAATGTCATTTTTGCATCGTGTGTGACCCGTACCCTGCTTGTGTACTTACACGTACCTATACTTGTGTCGGCCAGACATGAATGGAACGAAGTAAGGCCTCGCTCTCCTGACCTTCCCTCCTCCCGACAGCCAACGCATTCGATCGCTCCACGTATATATACATGCACGCGCATCATCTCAACAAATGCTCTTTCTCCACAACTGGTTTCTCCCTCGCCGCCTTTTCTCCTTTTGCACGTATAGGTACAAATCGTGCAAAGATATAATACGTATATACGTGGGTACCTACAGTCATGTATACGCTGAAAACGCCTCGGGTAACAGAAGGGAGCCGATGAAAGCGTGCACATGCCGGCTGCGTAAAGCGCATAAACTGACGGTGCGCTTGTTTCCCAACGCGCCCCTTTTTCCAAGGATAGCACAGACCGTACCGAGGCGTAATTGAATTAAACGCGGCCCACGATGAGCCCGGGAATTCCCGATATTACATACGCGTATGGAGATCGGAGCCTTCGATCTGCTTTACTTCTATACTTACCACCTGTACGTGATTCTTTGGTATTCCGAGCTTTGCCGCCAGCGATTTTTCCACGGGTTTTGAGATCCAAAGAATCGGCCGGACGTTATTGAATCGGACGGTGCACCGGTGCGCTCGGATATTACGCGTTTCCAAATGGTTTTACGATTCTTTTGTGTTTAGGGATAATGTACTCTTTATACGCCAGCACGTGTGGCATTTTTTCGTTTTCAGCAAGGAATTAAAAATATCGCGCTCAAAGACTCGAGATCGGAAAAAACTTCGTGCCATTATCGAGATGCCGATATGTTTTTTTGTCTCCCCCAACGTTACGTCTCACGTATGCTTCTCTAACGGTTGTATAACTCGTCTTACGTATATATACTTACATTGTGTCCCCCGAGCGAGCATCACCGTACCGCAAGTTTGCAAATATTCGTACGACCCGATAAAAGACCTACACGCGCTTGTCGCATGGATCGTCCCCGTTATACCGACGCGCATATGATATATACATGCGAGATAACGCTTACACTGTAAAACCTATACGGGTACATGTATATACATTATGATGGAAGGCAGTATACGACTGCGCTCCGTGCTCTCCCAAAAGGTTCGAGATTATAATATACTCCGGTCCGTAATGTTAGGCACTTGGTTACATGGAGATATGGGGGTCGAGTACACGATTCGCGCACGCAAATTTTCTTTTCCTCCGAGCGTTAACGACGTCAACGATCTTCCATTGTAACATTGCTAACACTATAGGTATGTATAGCTGCAACCAGCGGGGGAGGGGGATGATTGATAACTTAATGAGAAACCACTCCCGTGGTAATAAATATGCTTTTTAAATCCCATCGTTATTTCAACTCGGACGTTTATTTACCATTGGGTTGAGACGCGGTTTATCCGGTGTTATGTATGTACGAGCGGGCCCCTTTAACCCCCCTATTTGCCGTCAACCTCGAGGCCCTGTAATGGTCCTCTCTCTATATATATATTTTTTTTTTTTTTTTTTTTTTTTGGTTTTTCCAAACGACAGAGGACAAATTAACGATACGAGCTATCGAGCACAATCATTGGTTATCGATGAACGAGGATTTACCGTCATTTTTCCTGTGCGAGTTTGGAGCCGCGTGGGTTTCCGGGGCGACGGTGACGCCGGTGCCGATCTCCAAATTTAGACTCGAAGCGTGGAAAAGTGGGTCAAAGTACGGTGGCTCCCGGGGCACGAAACCACCTGTTGGGGCAGACGTGGAACAACGTATCTTGATCACTTATTTCACTTGAGATATTTTGCTTCTCGAGATTAATGCTTCCAAACTGAGGAATCATGATACTTTGTAAAAATGTACTCTGTCAACGTTAGAAGGAAACTCTAATTGAACAATAAGAAAGAAAGTATCACCGCGCCAAATGAGATCGGTCAAGGGTGAAATTTGTGATTAAAGACATTGATTTTTGAAACACGCCGTAATTGAATAACGTTGTAAAAAAAAGCACCAACCTTCCGTTTTCTCGGGCGGGCTGAATCGGTTCTCTTGGGTGACAATGTCGTAAAAATTCGCGTCCTTTGGGCCCAAGTCCGGTGGTGGGACCGCAGCCGCGCTCGCCGGATACCCGGTCACGGCAGCTGGTACCTCGTCGTCGCTCTTGTCCTTAACCAGGGCATCCGCTGCTACGAAAGGGATTATCCTGCGGAACGAAACGCGCGCGAAAGCCCTTGGTAAATGACTTGCGTTTTCTTTTTTTTTTTTTTTCTTTGAATAACGATAAAAAATTTAGAATCGTCTGATGTTGGCGTTCTACCTGATCATTAAATTNACTCGGCCCTCACGTTCAAGCTCACCCTGTCCGACGACAAAGTCAACGTACTCAAGGTCGGCTGCTTACTTGACATTTTTTTTTTTTTTTTTTTTCACGTCCGTACAAACAAGTATATCCCGGTGTAACGCGTAAGATTACCACGGGCTGTAATGTAATCCCGCGTGAGAGACCGCGCATCGCAATAAGTAACCTAGCACGCGAGCGTGGGTGAGTTTACAACTAATATACCTCACGAACCTAATGTGTGTACGCACATCGTACGTGCACATAAATATGTAGTATGTGCTCTCTCTCAGCAAAGTGCGCGTATATGGAAAAAGTTATTCTCTTGCGTCTGCGTGGGTTTTCCATGGTTTTTCTTCGTTTCGTTGGCTTTTTCAATTGAACGTTGATCGGAGGATTCTTGCAAACTAAATACAGTTGAGCGATTTGAAAAGTAAACAATTCGCGGGATAATGTCGATTTGCGAGTGGCCAAAGATGAACATCGAATCGTAAACAATACCTGGACAATATACATATGTACGTGTGATGTGATACAGGGAACATTTAAAAGGGAACGAAACAACCCCGATAACGTGATATCACGCAAATCGGGAACAAACAGGTAGAGCGCCCGTATATATATCCATAATCGCTCGTATATAGGCATTATTTACTTTGCCCAACAGCCTGTATCACTCTCCCTCTCCGTGCGCCAGCTTTCCCGTGCATGTGCACTCTCTCGTGGCTTGATAAACGTGTGTATATACGTAGAGCGAGAAAGGAGATCGGTAAATCCACCTGCGCGGTATATTATACAGTTGACTCAACCCCCCTCTCGGCCGTGTGTCTCTTTCATCTCCACCTTTACCTACTCCTCGCGCGTCTTCCACTCTACTGAATGTACATCACGTGTGTGGGTGTATATATGCATGATACACATCCCACAGACGAGCTGTGCCGCGTTTTAATTATAACAAGCATCAGCTGAGCGAGTGGGTATATACGCAGGTATGGGGCTGTGTACAACCTCGGGGCGTTTGACGTCTCCGGCACCCGCGTAATCTCGGCCTCGCTATCTCTCCTATTTCAAACCCATATGCGCGCACACAGTGAGCTCATCGCGAGAGAGGCCCATGAAAATTCCTATTGATTTTTGCAACTCGCATCGCGGCCAGTGAAACCAGGGTGTGTATTATTCGTGCGCATTGTGCGTAAGATATACCGGAGCGGTGGCGTGTTAATCTTGAATGTAAAATTATAAATCAAGAGCCAGCGTGATACGCTGCGAGGGAGGGAGGAGGAGAACTTTTTCAAACGAAATTGTACGTATATATGTATGTATAGTCGCTGGTATGGCTGCGGGAGCCGTGACGAAGGTTTGTTGAAGAAAGCCCGGGCGCTCTTTTGATAATTAGAGATAAAGGAGGGTCCGAGCGAGGACAGGGAAGAAAATCTCGGGGGGCAGTGGTAGGTAACAGGCGTGCGACACGGGGGCTCCTTTTTCGCAAAAGCCCCGAGTATAGCTGACCTCCGAGCAACATCCAACCCCGACGACCGTAATTTTCCAGCTTCGCTACAAAGAGGAGCTACCAACCCCCCCCCCTCTCGCCTTGCGTAACGACGTGACTCTCCGTAAGGAGAAACTCCATCCCAGAGAAAATTCGCTCCTCTCTGTTCTTCTTTAACCTTTTTTTTTTTTTTTTTTTTTTTTTTTAGGGTGACGCAGGGACAGAAAGTGAAGAGTATACGTGTACGATAACACGAGGGTGGTCGACTTTTGCTCGCTGGCAATCGGATACGCCGGCTCGCAGAAAAAGCGTCCACCAGCCTGCACGCAGCAAATAATAGGGCATGTGTGTGTTCGCGCCTGTAATCAACGAATCGGCTATCGATAATCAGGGAGTGGCGAAGCTATAGCATACAGAGGGAAGGTCTGCGCAGCGGAGGATTGATTTTGAGGATGATGGGATGGAGGATTGCGAGGGTGTGGACGCGTTGGATGAAAAGAAACGAGGAAGAGAAGAAGAGGACGGGTTAACGAAGCTGAATGCGCTGTACTGGTAAAGGGATCGGATGTGACCGGTAATCGCTGCCTTGGCACTATTGTTCTGGATGTAATGTAGGGGCCATTTCTTGATTAATATTAATCTCAAGTTTTTTTAGACTCGACGAAGATTTTTCGTTTGTTACGCACCGAATATATATTTACAAGGATATATTCATTGTACAAATGTCGAGGCAAAACCTGATGGCAATTAAACTGGCGATGGAAATTGGCAATTCTTTCAAGCAAGTGTGAAATTTTGTTTCGAGTTATTGTCGTTTCTGTCGTTAAACGCGCAATTATGCAATTTAGCGAAGAAAATTCATCGTTGAATTAGACGAGGGTCCAATATGCACCAGTTGGACGAAAGTTGTCTCATTTTTATCGAGCCGTACAATTCCTAGGGAAAATTTTATGTAACTTGAGAGTTAAGAATCAAAAAGTCCGGAAGGTCGGACGAAAGAGTAGGAAGGAATAGGAGAAAACTTGCACGTGTTCGCGGTTAGTCTTTCTAACTCCTCCCACGCCCCCCTCTATCGTCCAACTTTGATAAAACTCAATTACAAACTTTTCGAAATATGCAATAAAAAATTCACGGATTCTCATTAAAAATTCATAGCCGGGGAAAGAACGAGGGAAAGACGAAACTTACGAAAATCCTAATATAAATGACTAACGAAAAATCTCGCGTAATAAGAAAAACTTACCCACTTCCTCCTTCGGCAATAATCTCTTCTTGGCCGAGATTTCTCGTAGTCGTCAAACGTGCATATTCGCCCCCAAAACGAATTAAGGTCACGATTGCGCGATAATTCCTGGCCGGCTACTGCCTAATCGCCCCCAATGATAATGAGAAAAGGTCCGAAAAGTTAGCGAATAGCCCACGGTATAAATGTGACAAAGCGCCCCGTCGTCCATCAAGATGAAATAATAGCGTGGGAGTCGCGACCAGTCGAAGAAGAAAAAAAGAGCATTAATTGCGACGTCTTGGTCGCCCGGACAAGAAGGATGGAGGGGCGTGGGGGGAGAAGAAGTACTCCCGAAACTCAATTTTAAATTTTAATGAGGGATTCATATTTTTGGTGAGAGTCGAGGCACCGCCTCGTAAATTATACCGAAAAAACTATACTCGCGAGTGAGTCGCTGCCGCGAAAACTATGAGACCGGGAGAGGAAAACAGAAAACGCGTAGCTGTGATGTCTATGTGTGGGTCGATCGTAAAGTTGTACCTTCTCTTCTTTTGCGCCCTTGCGCGTGTATGTATATGTTCCACATCTAGCTGGACTATGTGTTTCGACGCGAGTTTAAGGAGTATAGGTGTATACGTGCACATACGCAGCCGAGGGGGGGGGGGAGGGATAAAAGTCCTGAGACTAGCTGCGCTCGTGTCGCCAGACTCGTCGCTCGGTGGCGGCAACTTGCTTGGCTTCCCGCGCTATCTTTTCGTCCCTTCTCCCTTGCACCCATATAAATATACACTCTTGCGCTCTTGCTCGCAATTTTTTTTTTTTTTTTTTTTTTCTTCTCTTTTTGGTGTGTACGTGTGCTTTTGCTCCCTTTAGCTATCCGTATCTTTCTTATCCTCCTTGTTACACGGTACGACGAGACGGAAGAAAATGTATATTAAACCAGCGCGGCTATTTATTTTTTCTTTTTTTTTTTTTTTTTATTCGGTATACAGTACAGCTCGAGCGGCTAATCTGAAGCACTGCAAGAAATTATGAAATTCCCGGATAAGCCGCCCGAGGGACCATTGTTGCGGCACTAATGTTGTACCCAAGCGCTCGAAGCGCGTCAAAGATTAAATGTTAATTTGTTGCCTTGTCTTGTTTTTCCTCCATGATTTTAATAACTGGGACAAGCTTTTTGCATAATTTTTTTTGGAAAACAAATCCACAAGTCCATCAACTTAGTACCAAGAGTGACTGTACAGTCCCAGAATTCCTTCGCGTATAAGGAGCCTCAATTCTACGCGCACTCGCGTCGGTGCACGTACATCAGCTCAAAGGTATCTGATTCCTCAAAGGCCTGTCACAGATCCGCTATAGCCGCTGTACACACGCAGTTATATGCAGTTTCCCTTGCGCATATAATAATCCTCTTTGCCTCGGGAAAGACACGCACACAAGGTATACGAGTACCCTTTACCTGTGTACGTCCGTTGCGAGGAGAAACACGAGCGTAATCGTGTGCGCGTTGCGGACCGATCGCGCACCAAAACGTATGTCCATCTACGTGGGTGCAACAGCCGAGTGGGTTTATAACGGGTATACGTGTAATATGCGCGGAAGACTTGAAAGGGAGGTAGGGGAGGGGGGTATCGGAAAGGCGAGTGGAGGAGCGAGTGGTGTTTGCCCCAAAGCTCCCTGCGGATTGATGTGCGCGGCAACGCTCGCGGCTGGCCTCCGATAAAATATGCACTGTGTACTTTTGCGGCAGAGAGGCCCCTCCTCTTTGTCTTTCGCGTCGCGGATCGCTCGCTCCCTTTGTGTGTACACCGAAAACGATTCCCCGCGGGGAGTCGGGGGAAAAAAGAGAGGAAAGATTTTGAGGAAATTTTCGGGACTCGTATACATACATACCGTACACCGACCCGTGCAAACTTTTGCCCGAGTCGTCGGAGAGATGCGAGTTTGTACGTCATATAGACACATGTGTGCGCAAGTGGCATCAAGCGTACAAGTGGCTTTTATTAAATTTGGCCCGATGAATATACGACCCTCGGCTTAAAAGCAATTACGTCTAAAGGGATTTTGTTTGTCTCTTGCTTGTCTTTATTACGACGCTCTTGTTTGTATACCCACGTGTATATATGAAAGCTCGTAGATTTTTATGGTGAATCTAATCCTTTTCTTTTTTTTTTTTTTTTTCATTTATCAACGAGCTTGGTTAGCCATTTTGCAATATTGGATGCAATTGTCCATGTACGATGTGTTTCCAAGACAGGGAAACGATAAACGGAAAGCAATAAAAGCTCATCACTTAACGACGCAACACGTGAAATCTCATATGCTTGCGGTTGTGCAGCCGACGACTTTGCTAAAG